GCAGCAATGGCTGAGGCCAATCTACTGACCTTGGTAAGACTTGCCACCTCTTGTGACTGTGCCCTAGAAACTCTAAGGCTGCAATGGATAACTACCAAGAATTGTTTGGGAGGGTGTACCCTTCCATCCCTGTTCTATCCTGAGTTATTGAAATGGACAAGAACACACAGGATAGACAATCTCTGTTTGCACTGATTTTGGAAAGTCGTGTCAAATAGATAGATAGATAGATAGAATTTGGAAATAAACAAGCTCTGCTAAAACAGTACAGTCATTGAGAATCCATGTGGTGCTAAATAATAAGTTAGTTATTGAATTTAAAATACACAAATCTGTTGCTCAGTAAGGGGCTTTGTTGGTGATTTACTGGACGCATCAACATGAGATGTTTACTGTGGAGATGCCTAATTAGCACTGTAAATATCTTGGTGTCTTCAGATGTGGCCCTGTTACACTGCAGGACACTAATAAACTCTGCAGAGGTTAGTACTTGTAAATACAAGTACTATCCTGCTGCAGAGTTTTTTCATGCGCAACAACTCACATGTAGACATTGTCCTGGCTGGCTGGGGCACAAGGGAGCTTCAGTGTGGGGGCTGCCTGCCAGTTAGCTCCACACTAAAGCACCTTCATGCCCCAGCCAGTCCCTCAGCAGCATGTTGAACTGGGTTGGAGCAGCCCCGGGCTGGCAGGTTGACCCCCAGGCTCCCTGCCAGCCGGGGCTCCTCCACCCCAGCTCAGCGTGTGGTGGTCCTGGGCGCACATTTAAACAGCACACCTTGGAGCACAGAATTCCAGTGCTATTTGCATCAGAGTTTATTGCTGTGAATTAACTGCACATGTAAACGCACCCATTGATTAGTATTATCTGACTACATTTATTGGCAGCCATAGCATATTTACATGTGGTAACTTCATAATGGCAACCAGTACTCTGTACAGGTGTTGCTAGCCTTTCATTTCACTGGTTCATCTGAACTGTGGGGTAGCTATTGCCATCTTCCTCTTCTCTGCAGTATTTCTGGTTTATGAAATGCACAACTCAAGTTAACCCTTGTATCTTATTTTGAGAAACCAGCCATCTTATTATGTTATTTTAGCTTTTCTAATACTGAGAAGCAAAACATTACATTATTTTTCAGTTGCTCCCTAGTCTAAATTCCTTGAGGGTGCAGTTTTCTGAAGTGTTTGTCCTTTTGTGTGTTTCCACTGAAGTCAATGCTAGGCACTTTAGAAACTCCAAACTTATATAGAGTTTTCTTTTCACACGGGCTGGACCTATTTCTGCCTTTACTTACACTGCTGTAAATCAGAAGTAGCTCCACCCAAGTCATTGGAATTGCAGCAGATTTATGTTGGAGTAAGTGATCAGATTCAATTCTTAGATCTTATATAACAAAGTCATAAGTATCCTTTATTAGTACGTTAAGCAGTGCAGTGACTGATTAATACTTTTGCCACTGAGGACTTTTTTGCCATGAACTATTTGGATTTGTAAATAAATCTCTGCCTTGCAGAGGTTAAGTGCCTCTTATATATCTCAGACTGGGCACCCAGGAGGCAGTTGCATATAAGTTTATTACTAAAACTTTTAGGATGTGTGAATGGTACTAAGCTGGTTGTACAGTGCTGGTAAAACTGATGTAACCTATTAAATCAATAACTTGTTGCTGAGTAGTAATGATGATTGCTACTGCAATTGTTGCATGCATACAACATTAGTAAGCATATTTGTATCAGACCAGCATCCAGGGGCCCTGGCTAGGATCAGGACACCAGCATGCTGAGTGCTGTACAAACACAGATAAGTGTCAGCCCTTGCCTTAAAGCAGAAACATCTAACTGATACGGCCCCAGGCCTGATCTGGACCACAGGGTTCTTTGTGGACTGGATCCAGACCCAGAGGAGAATCTATGAATCTCTGCTGGTGGGGTGAGCAACAGCAGCATTAACTCCCATGGGTGCCTGAGCCACTGTATCAGCTCAGGGAGCTGTGGGGGTCAACACCACCGATATTTGCCATGCTGCTGCAGAATTGAGTTCCCAGCAGGGTTTCCACATCTGGACATTTGGCAGCAGGGTGAGTGACAGCAGCATCAACCCTCATAGAACAGCCGCTGAATTACCAGTCACTCCAGGAGCCACGTGGGCCATATGTTTGACACGCCTGCTTTAAAGTGTACATGTATCTTGTGCGTGTTGAGACAGGAAAGCTACAGAACTTAAAGAGTCTGTCTCATAGTAGTAATGTTACAGGATTATATCTATAGCAGGTTGGGGAAATGCAGAGATTTCTTTGTGGAAAAGTCTTAAAGTTCTTTTCAGAAAGTGTCTTTGAAAGTTTGAAAATAATGGTAAAAACAGCTACTTGGCAGTGAGCATGGCTGTCTGGCATTATTATGGTTTTGTTTTATTTTATTCAGAGTTCCTTTGCATTTATAACTGTGGTAAATGTGAATCCTGTAAATCTAACCTCCAAGTAGAAAATCTCACTAATATCTCTCACCCTTTGTCCACAAGCCTGGATGACTTTGTTATGTGCTGGCTCAACAGAGATTTAACCACCTATTGCTGGAATGGAAGCCACATACTGTAGGGCAATTGTTCTCAACATTTTTCCTACCAGGACCCATTTGCAAAAGTCCATGGCCTGTCCTGACCCCCCCCTTCCCCCCCCCCGCCCCTGCCAATGCCCAACCCCGAATCCCCTGCCCCTGGGCCATGCTGGTGTCCCTCACTCCTGACCCACAGCTCCTTGCCCCTTCCAACCCTGCCGGAGGGGCCCCCAGCTGCCCCCATCCCACTCAGGCCAGAGTTCAGTGGCTGCGGCAGCTCTGGCTCATGCAAATGGCAGCAGAGCAAGTCCAGCCTCAGCACAGGCACGAGGGAAGAGGAGGAGGAGAGGCCTGTGGCACACCCCCTGCCCTGGGCTGGGGCTGCCACGTCACACCAGGCCACTTAATCATGGCCCCTTCTGCCCCTCTGAGCAGTGTCTCCCAGCCACCCTGCCCCTGCGAGCACAGGCACCCACTGGCCCCAGTGCTGCGTGCCTGACCACACAGCTCTCCCTCAAGTCTCAGTTCCTGGCCACCTTCCCCCAGTGCCAACACACTCATACACACTTTCTCTCTCTCTCTCTCTCTCTCCCCCTTCCCCGCCCCAAATCCTGGCCCTCCAACCTCCACTCCCCATACCTAGACCCAGCTACTGGCGCTACTCCCACAGCCCTACCTGGCTGCATGTGCATGCAGATGCACATGTGCCCATTGTCTCCAGTCACCCCAAGCAGCATCTTTTTATGTAACTTGCTTGCGACCCTTTGAAATATTCTTGTGACCCACGGGTTGAGAAATGGTGCTGTGGGGGATATGCCCTGGACTGGGACTTGGGAGATCTGCATTTGGTTCCTGGCTCTGCCACTGGCCTGCTGGAAGACCATGGACTAGCCATTCCCCTGCTTTGTGCCTCAGTCTCCCTGTATGTAAAATGGAGACTATGAGGCTCCCCTCCTTCAAGTGCTTTGAGATCTGCCAATGAAAAGCACCATATTAGGACTACTGCTGTCAGTGCGTTGTGTGCCAGTCCTATTACTACACTGCTGCCAAATGTGCTGCAGATTATGAGCTAGGAAGGATGATCCTAAAGTAAAAAATAAACCTGTCATGACACATTAACAAAGTATCTTTGGTGAGGGCAGTAGCTTAGAGGGAGGGTGGTGGCTTTGCCAGGGTTTGGGAGTTAGTAATTAAGAGGGGGAGTCTCAGTGAGTGTCCCAGGTGCTAGTGTGAGTGAGTGATATCCAATTTAACAGCTAAGCTGAATGGGAAGCTGACTAGTACAAGGGAAGAAGTGATCTAATAGACTTTCTTGCTTTGTTTTCCTGGCAGGATGGAGAAAAAGAAGATAGTGATGAAATCCAAAGTTGCTTCTTCGAACCTTCTGAGGGCGCTGCATTCACTCTATCAGTTCGGTCACCTCTGTGACGTGATAGTCCACACCGAGCAGATGGGAATTCAAGAGGAGTTTCTGGTTCACAAGGCTGTATTGGCAGCTTCCAGCAATTACTTCAAGGGGCTGTTTCTTCATGATGAGATGTTAGACACTAAGACCCGCACAGTGACTCTACAAGACATTTATACAGAAGAATTCACTTCCTTCCTGGAGTTTGTTTATACTGCCGAAGTAGAGATTGAGGCAGAGAAATTGCATCGGATGAAGGAAATAGCTGAGAGACTTGAGTGCAAGGATTTGCTTGATATTTGCGAAGAAATGAACTCGGAGAGTAAGGAAGGCTTAGATCCAAGTGTCCATTTAAAAGGTCAGATACACAAAAATGGTGGGTCCCAGTGGGCTTATGTCCCACAAACAGAAGACAGTGAACTGGGTAATTCATCCCCATCTGGGGCAACACCGCTACAAAGAAAACTGTGGGATGGCCAGAAACACAGGAAATTATTAACCAGCTATGAACTTGTGGAATGTCAACTTACAGATCCTAACAAGGAAGGGACTGCTCTTTCAGAGTCAACAGCTGGGATGGCCAAGCTAGCTGAGCATAACAAAACAGACACAAGTGAGATGATTGGCATGGATGCTGCCAGCCCAGGGGAAAAGAAGACCTGCTGTTCTGCCCCAAGCGAGCCAGACTCCAAGGAAACCTGCATCGTCATTAAAAAGCTGCTCCCTGCCCAAGGGGAAGATGAAAATACTTTAATCTCGGAGCTGGCCAGTAAATTTGAGCCCAGGAGGTCACTTCGCAATGGATCAAAAATCTTGCCCCAAATGTACACGTGTGAGAAGTGTAATCAGTCATTCCATTTCATCAAGCAGTACCAGTCACACATGGAGCTGAAGCATAATATTAACATTGTCACCAAATACAGCTGCAACCTATGTGACCAGCTCTTCTCTAATCGCCAGAACCTGAAACAGCACAAGCTCACTGTCCACAGTGATGAGAGGCGCTTCCCTTGCATGTCCTGTGACAAGAGATTTAAGCGCCAGAAGGATATCAATGACCATGTTCGGAGGGTTCATGAAAAGAAAAGGAGCCCTCAGGCATGCCCATACTGTGACAAGGTTATCAGCTCCAAGTGCGGCCTCACAGTTCATATGCGCACACACACAGGAGAGAAGCCCTACAAATGTGAACGCTGCCTTGCAAGCTTTGCTCAGAGATCTGCTTACAATACCCATGTAAGGTATGGCCTTCCATGCGGGGGTATGCCCAGGCATGGGAACAGAGTATGAGTTTCAGAACATCTTTGATTGCTTCTGTGCTAGGATACTATAGGTTAGATACAAAGCCTTTTGAAGCTGGCACAGGTCTTTCCATTGACTTCAATGTGCTATGCAGTCTGGGATTTTCAAAGCCATGTGGGAGACGTAGCTAGACATTTCTTACTGAAATGAATAAGAGTTGGGCCACCAGGTCTTATCAGTGGCTTTGAAAGTTTCGGCTGTTGAGTTTTAAATGTGGGCCAGGAAAATTGTGTTGTGTTAAAAATAAACTGTAGGGGTAAGAAGAAAGGAAACAGGTCAGTCTGGATAGTGGGGAGGAGGCAGGGAACAGGTCAGTCTGTTCAACTGCTCTTGCCTTCGGCATCCACTCCTGCCAGCGTGAGAAACAGAGTACTGGACTAGGTGGATCTGCGGTGCGACTCGGTGCAGCCTTTCCTACAAACAGGAAAATGGCCCTTTCAGAAGTGGCCCGATAGCTTGATACTTCATTGTTGTTTGATCAGAAATCCTGAGGCGCTGTGGGCCTCTCAAACATTCATTGACTGGAAATGAGATGGTAAAATCACCTGGTGTCCAGATCTGCCTGTAGTCACTCAGCATACCAAAGAGGTCACGTGTGCGTGCGATTGGGTGTATGGAGCATTCATAAGCATTTCAGCTTTCATTTTCGTTGTTCCTAACCCCCAGCCCTCCCTCCCCTGTGTGCAAAGAAATCGTTTCAAATGTGACCCCCTGGCAGTGGATGCATTAGTGTCTTCCCAGTGGATACAGTGTCTTCTGGAGGTGGCAGACAGCCAAGAATGAGGACTTAGCGGTGTGAACTTCTCAGCACCCATTAATCTCTAAAGATCAGTGATGAGGTTTTAATTGTTAGTGTTAACACTTTCTTTGCCAATCACTTCCTTTTATGGCATGGAGAAGC